GAGGTAACAACTAGGGGAGTGCAAAAATATCGAAATATTGATTTATCGTATCGTCTGTAATGTGATGATACAGTATCAATATCGTGGGCTGCTGTATCGATATATTGCCAAGAGTATTTTTTGGTATTTTTTACTAAATTACTTTGTTACAACACTACAGTTTTGCTGCTTGTTCAGAGGAAGGAAACTCTTTTATGCAACACATGAGACATTTTCACTGTTTTTGATGATTAAAATGGGCGTGTTTCATATGAACTTGGCACAAGAAGTGGTTTAACAAAGACTTTTAGTATCACAGCCATGATATAGCCTTTATTTTTTATTGAACAGTATGGAATAGACTTGAAATATATCATATAGAATCGAAAGTGCACTATATCGAGGTATGTATCGTATCTTGACCTATGTATGGAGGTATGTACAGTATCGTATTGGCAGCTTCTCAACGATACCCAGCTCTAATAACAACATTCTAACACAGGGGTCTCCAACCTGTAGCTTGCCAAATGCTTTCTGAATTATACGTATTGTGCTGGGTAAGTAAAATTTTATTGATTAAATTCCTATTACCATGGGAAATATATAATTTTGATGCCTAACTTTCTACACTAACAAATGGATAATGGTTTATGTTTTATAGACATCTAACTATACCTTATCTAAGACTTGCCATGCCCTATATTTACTCAATTTCTTGTGAGCAGTCAAACTAGTAGCTCTCTGGCGTTTTCGTATTGTAAAAGTAGCTCACCAGAGGAAAAGGTCAGAGACGCCTGGTCTAACATGACTTAAAGCTCACAAGAATGTCTTTTGTGTGATATAAGACGTTTAAACTTACACCACAGGGTCAACTTAATTCAGATCTGTGAACAGGAGACCAAGCTCACAATAATAATGCATGTTTTTCAAGTCCATTTAAAGCAAAAACAGATCACATGATGAAACTGAATTAGTTATTATAGTGTTAAGTGTTAGCAGTGTTTTCTTTCACAATGAAGCCTTATTAATATAGGAATAGGGAAAAAAGTGCAAGAGTGAAGGTACTGTCTTTAGTTTATCACACTGCGCCTTTAAGTTCAGTCTCTAATATAAAGGATTGGGTTCCATACCATATCAGTACATCAATATTGCGTCTTTATATAAAAAAACAGACTTAACTCTTTCTTGAAGCAGGTAGTGTGCGTCTTTAGGATAGTTTACCACAATCACACCAGTAACCGGAGCTTTCATCACTAATTCAGGCTCTGAGTCAGGCACAGGGACCAGGGCATAGAGCAGAAAAGAGGAGAGCAGAGGAGAGGATGAGAAGAGAAGAGTGAAGGAGAGGAGAGAGGAGAGCGGAGGAGAGAAGATCAAAGAGCAGAGAAGCAGAGGAGAGTGGAAGGAAGGAGCAGAGGAGAGGACCAGGAGCGGTTCAGAGGCGAGGAGCAGGAGAACAGAGGAGAGGAACAGAGGAGAAGAGGAGAGAAGCAGAAGAACAGAGGAAGGGAGCAGAGTAGAACAGAAGAGGAGCAGAGGAGAGGAGAGAAAAGAGTGGAGGAGCAGAGGAGAGGAACAGGAGAACAGAGGAAGCAGAGGAGAGGAGAACAGAAGAATGGAGGAGAACAGAAGAGGAACAGAGGAGAGGAGAGCAAAAAGTGGAGGAGCAGAGGAGAAGAGCAGGAGAACAGAAGAGGAGCAGAGGAGAGGAGAGCAAAGAGTAGAGGAGCAGAGGAGAGGAGCAGGAGAACAGAGGAAAGGAGCAGAGTAGAACAAAAGAGGAGCAGAGGAGAGGAGCAGGAGAGGTGCAGAGGCGAGGAGCAGAAGAACAGTGGAGGGGAGCAGAGGAGAAGAAGAGAGGAGCAGAGAAGAGGCAAGCAAAGAATGGAGGCGCATAGAAGAGGAGAGAGTAGAGGAAAGGACCAGAGGAGAGAAAAGCAGAGCAGAGAAGCAGAGAAGAGAAGAACAGAAGAGCAGAGCAGAGGAGCAGAGAAGAGGCGGAGAAAACGAGAGGATGACCGAAAGAGAGGAGGAGCAAAGGAGATAAGCAGAGGAGTAGAGCAGAAGTTCAGTGAGTTTTTACCTTGTCAAAAATACAATTCACACCTCATGCTTTCACTTCCTCTTTCACACATAAGTTTCCACACAATATTTTTTAATCTAGACTTCTTTGATAAACGTGACATCTCCACAAAGAAAAATAGATAAACTCTGACACTCATGGTTTCAGAATGATAAAAAAATAGGACAGTTGCCATAGCGATTAATAATTAAAACCAAAATATACCATTGGAATTTAAAAGTGTTCCACAAATAGTTCATAGTTTTAACTTTTTTGGTGAAGAGGCCTGTATGTCTCCATGGAGATTATTGTTATTTCTTTGCCTAGAATGTTCCACAGTATGACATTAAACACACTGATGCTTAATGAAGACAAGCAGATGACACCACCAAGCCAAGTTACAGGTCAGATCTGTGGAGAGGTGATCAGCTCATAGAACACATGTTGTTCAAGGTATACTTTTGAGCAATACAAACACCCATAGTGAAATAAATGCTATAGATTACTGAAATGCCGTACTGTGGGATATTACTGTCAAAGCAATAACATCTCCTAGGAGACTAGAACTTTACCAGAAATAATATTGGTTACTGAAATTATAGTTAAATAGTAAAAAAAAATTGAGTTAAACAAATCTAAACCAGGTAGAAGAATGCAAATAAATTATGCCATTATGAATGTAAATTCCTTAAAGGTGCACTGCGCAACATTTCTACTGGAGGGTCCACCACCTGCTTGTCACCATGGAAATGTTATTGCTTTGTCTACAATGTTTTCAAACAGACATGTCAAACTCAGGCTCCGTGGCCAAATTTGGTCAGCGATATAATTATATTTGGTCCGTGAGATTATATCAAATATGCATTAGAGCTGACCCGCCGGCTACAGATATATAAATTTTTAATTGTTATTATTTTATATTGTGCTTGTTCTGGATTCAATGTTTAAGCAAAACTATTATTAAACAATTATTTTAATAAGAAAAGGTTTAACATTATATTCTCAAAAGAAGAGAAAACATGCAGATGTTGTTGAAAATTTTCAGTAAATATTTAATTTGGCCAATGACCTAGTTCCGGTTTTTAATTTTGGCCCTCTGTGAATGTGAGTTTGACACCTCTGTATGATTTAACAAATCTACCACGAGGAAGAGAAGTAGATAACAGCACCATGCTAAGGAATTATTGTATTTTTGAATAAAGGCTTGATGGATATGTTAAATGTCATAACATGGAACAGGCAAAGCAATAACATCTCAATGGAGAAAGATGGAGCAGGTGACAGACTCTCAACCAAAAAAGTTACACAATGCACCTTTAACACATTTACTTCTAATGCAATAATAAGCAACATACGTCAGGTACAAGGTTGCTACTACTCACATAATACGTCTCCTCAGAAACTAAATATAAAGAGAAGACATAATAGGTTTCTTAAGGTGTTCAATCAGATCAGTTGAAGCCTTTATATTTGTTAACCCATCATGTTTAATACATTAGTTGTTGTTGAAATGTGGGCGGGGCGGTGCAATCACCCAAAGCCTACCTATTAAAGTCAGCTTAGTGTCCTTTAACCACCACATATTGACAAACCGTTGACGTCTGCGTTAAGCAACAACTGACCACATATAGAATACTAGCACATTACTTTTAGACTGAGGTAGTATTTATTCTTTGTTACTATAATTTTTACGCTTTGTTATTATATTATATTGTGATGTATGAGCTACTAATTTCCCTCGTGGCTTAAAAAAGTTTGTCTAAGTCCAAGTCCTGTCACAATAAATACTATATCTACTTATCGTTCAATATATGAAAGCTGAGACAATATTTGTAATTGTGTTATATTTTCTTTGCACTACTGGGACATTTTGGGTTATTTTTTGGCTGTGTGATAAGATTTAAGTCATAGAAGGTTGAATTAATAACTGAGTCATTACAGATGCAAACTAAAGTACTTAAGTGTTTCATTCTGATGTTTATTTATTGCAGATTTTGAGTAGTTTTTGTGGTTTAAATCTGCTTTAGGGTTATCGTGTCAGTGGTACAAGGGCTTCCGGCTCCATCAACTCTTTACCTTTACATTACATTGAAAATTTGTCACCCTTTTTCTGTAACTGCTGCTGAGTACCTCGCTATTTTGGGCTTAAAATTTTCATATTAACCCGCTCTACGTGATCCTGGTGTTTTTATTTTTCCATTTTGTACTTAAATAAATTCCTATTCTTAATACGAAAGTGGCAAAAAAAGTAATTCTGTCTTATAAGTGCTAGCCTCATGAGCTTCATTTGACTGGAGCTGATGGGTGCTACGGGTGACGTCACACTCCTTTAGTCCACTTCTTTATACAGTCTATTTTTTATTTTATTTTATTTATTTATTTGAGACAGGGACAGCACACAATTTTTGCATTTTACCTTAACAGGAGAGATGCATTGTACATCAGGTATCAGTCTATGAGAATACTTAAGCCTGTCTTGATAAATCCTACCGTATATTGAGTTATCGTTCAATACATCTAATTTTGGGGACTTTTTGGGGGAAACTTTAGTTATTTTTCTGTTCTATAATTAGATTTGAGCTTTAGATGTATATTATAAATACAGAATAATTACTTAAGTGCTTCATTCTGCTATTCAACTATTGCAGTTCATGTTTTTTTTTAACCATATTGCGCATTTAGAATAGTTTTTGGGATGATTCTGCTTCAGGTTTATTGTGTCAGTGGCATAAATTAGTCTCAATATTATCCTTTATCATGTATATTTTCTTCAGCAAGAAATCACACTTCAAAATTTGTTATGGTGTCAGACCTAGGAGGATTTTCATTAGCCACCCAGATGCAAGCAAAACATGCAAACTCCACCAAAACCCCTCCAAACAATCCAGGAATTGAACCCACAACCTTCTAACGACCTAACCACTACGCCACCAACATAAAAAGGCTACCACTCCTCATCTGATCTGGATATATCGTTTTATTATTTCAACAGTAAATAGCAAAATAAAGTGAAGACAACTATGAAAAAGGAAACAAGCTGGTTTGGTTTAAAAGTGAACAGGCTGATGATGAGATTAAGAGGAGCACCTTTTAAAGTTTGTGTGTTTTTGGGGGTATGTAAACATTCACCAGGGTCCAAAAGTCACTGAAAAACAAACAAGAACTGGACCAGAGCGCTCCCCTCCTCTTCCTCCGCCTCCCCCTCTTCTATTGTACACAGATTCCAATACCTTTAGTTTCGAGGGACAATTCTCTCCCCCCATAAGGCAGCTCAAATGGGAAATACTCAACAGTAATATATGGAAGCTCTTGGACAGTAAATACCACAGCAAAACAAGAACATTTGAGTTAAAATGACTTAATAAATACAAACTGTCTTTTTTTTTAAGCAATTTTGACTCAATATATTTAGTTTGGTGTACTTTTTTGTGGTTTAACTTATTTTTTTGGACACATTGAGTTACTTTAATATACAAAATTTAAGTCATTTTAACAAATATTTTCTGTTTTTGCGGTGGTGATGGTAACAGCTTCAAACTTGAGGTGGACAAATACAAAATAACATTGGTTTATGCAATCAGAAAAAGCCTAAATATAACTTTATACCCTTATCTGAAGATTACACAATTTAATTTTGTAGATTTCCCGTGTATATAAAATTATTGACACACTTGACATTCCAGTTTTGCATATTGTTCAAGCAACAAATTTTTTTTTTCAATTGATACTTTGCAGCTGATGTAATCAACGTTTCCTGGGGTGTGATGCCAACTATAGACACTGCTCTGTCTGCAGCTCTGTTACTCAAGTAAGCCTTTAACCTGACCTTTGTTTTAATACAATCTGACCATAAAGAACTGAGTTAGTTGGAACAGGTGAGCCGATTTGTGCTGTTAAAACAAGTCGCTCTCAAATAACATTATGTCACAAGATAGCTGGCCTTACCCAACACCTAAATGTGACCACAAACGCTTATACTGATCACAGGCTCCTGAAAATGTGTTGTTTGCATCCACTTTGTATTTTTCATGAGTATTTTTCATGTTTTCAGACTTTCGCCAGTGTCAGCATTGTGTCACCATGGTACCTGCTGAACATTCTGCCATAGACATACATGCAGAACCCCCTCCCAGATATCAATGCAAAGTATCAATATATATATATCACCAACCTCTACTCAAGACCCTATTTTTGTCCATTTTCACAGTGCATCCAGTCACACAAATGTCCCAGAAAGTTTGATCAATACTAACAAATTCTCCGTCACGAAATACAATCAGATATTCAGGTGTTTTTTTGTGGTCCACATTCGTACAAATAACAGAGGCAGTCAAAGCCACTATAGAATAATATGCTGATGATGAGTTTGTCCTTTGGATATGTAGCAAAATACTGCAAAAAAGATAGAAAAGTATACATGAAAACTGCCTGTTAGTTTAGATCATGCCCCCCAAAACGAATGATACAAAATAGAAGAACAGAATGTGCTTTTGAAGTATATTGATTCAAATGTACAAAGCAAATATATAATAGAAAGTCTGCGAAAAAAAATATTTGAAATTACAGATTATAGGGAATCAACATTATAAAAGAAAAATAAATTCAAATGCTACTCTCTTGCATTTTCACTAGAGAGGCTTATAAATTGCTTCAGATTGCATGGTTTTCCTTTCTCAACTACTTTTGTTGTGCCAAGTGTCCACATATTCTAATATCCAGGCTGGTGAGTGAGTAAGAAACTGCAAAAAGGAGTAACTACAAGAGACAAAGCTATAAAGTAATTTTGACTAGTTTAGATATATTTGCAAAGCATATCATTATTTTAACTAAGGTTTACAAAAAAAACAAAACAAAACAAACAAACAAAATAAAGAGCAACAAAAAACTGATCTGGGCAAGGTTGGAGTCGTTCATGGTCATATTGATATTTATCGGTGTACTGGGAAGAAAAAAAAAGTAAAAAATTTACTAAAATGTTCACATTTTCAAAACAATGTACCTTATTATTACACTTGTATTTTTCACTGTGGTATTAAAACTATTCAACGTTTCTGTAAGTATTAAAATCATGTTTGAAATGATCTCTGGTTTCTATTTTTAAAGGAAATTTTTGACCAGTGACGTAAGAAAGTTTTAAATTCCACTGTTATGAATCTGGTAACGTGACTTCCCTCTTTCAGATTTGGGTAAGGCCAGTATTACTGTAGCCTACCAATCACATTTTTTTTTTTTTTTCTTAAATAGGTAATAATAAAAGAAAAATCCACAAAATGTTGAACCTGATTAATTACATAGAAATAAACAGATTCATTACAGCTACCTTCCAGGAAATCTGCTTATTTATTTAATTACACTGAAATTAATTATAGTGTAATTACATTACACTGTATAAGATCAGACTGTAAAATATTGTGATATCATCTGTAACCATGTAATACGCAAATATATCTTAACAAGTCAAAACCACTTGCAACTTTGACTCATGTAGAAATTCCTTTTTGAGAGTGAAAAAGACAACAAAAAACATTAAGATTTGTAGTTTGAGGTAAGCCAGGTGAGTCCCTCACATAGTCCATCCCCGGTGGTGGCGCAGGAGGGCTGAACGTACCAATTCCTGTCTCGGATTCTGGTCAGACCGAGCTTTTCTTGGATCTCGTGCGGTTTCATTGCGTCTGGTAGGTCCTGCTTGTTGGCAAAAATCAGGATAATCGCATCCCTCATCTCACGATCGTTGATGATTCGGTGTAACTCTTGCCTTGCTTCGTCGATTCGATCTCTGTCGGCGCAATCCACGACAAAAATCAAACCTTGCGTACCAGTGTAGTAATGTCTCCATAGGGGTCTGATCTTGTCTTGACCGCCTACATCCCAAACATTGAACTTAACATTCTTATAGGTGACGGTTTCCACGTTGAATCCAACTGTTGGTATTGTAGTAACTGACTGTCCAAGTTTGAGCTTGTACAGAATAGTTGTTTTACCGGCTGCGTCAAGTCCGAGCATCAGTATCCTCATTTCTTTGTTGCCGAAAATCTTTGATAGCATTTTCCCCATCTTGAATGCAGTTCATAAATACTTAGTCCGTTAAAAGTGAAATTCAAACTTCTCTAGTGAAAGATAAAATGGTTTCTATTCAGCTGAGAGGGTGCACCACGTGATAGGGTAGCAACTGTGGTTTTGAACTGTCAATATTGAGCTAGTGACTTATGGAAATTGCAATATATATAGCACTGTATTGAAAAACTATAGTAACTTTAAGCAGGGATGTTTGAATGTGTATATTTTGAATGAGAAATAATTATTTACCCTGTTTCAGACCAGCAGCATTAAGCAAAAAGTAGCAGTCTCTCAAAATTAGCGGTGTTGATTGTTCAAAAGGAGTATGGTATCGCAATTTTCAAAGCTTTCTATTGAAACTTTTGGTCATTTTAAGTGTAGATAAACACTTCTGTAATATTTCAGTTATTTTTTTAATGGAAAAGAATTACTTCACCCAGTTACAAGGCAGCAGCGGGCAAAAAACCTTCCACCAAAATAGATTTTAAGTCCTTCCTTTTAGTTAAAATCTTCTCTTAGTCGAATTTTCCTCAAAAAAGTGTTCAGAAAAAGCCTTCTATAATGAATTAGGCCCTGTAGAAGCCCGGGTTTTCACTTCCTCCTTGGCAGCCGGCTGTCCACACCACACTTGCCCGTAAAGCCACTTCCCAGGCGCACGATTTCAGATCCGTGTGAAATCTTGGCTAAAAACAGCGCAGAATGAATCCTCTCCGGTCCGTTTCCGTGGCCAGACATCCAGGGGAAAAAGCGCTGAAAAAGGTCATTGATTCACCCGACTTTCTTCTCTCTATGACACAAGAAGAGAAGGGAGGGGTGTTACTACAAGAGAGGACAAGTTTCAATGCGTGAATGAAGAGCGCTACACAGACAAAAGCGCGATCGGACACGGCTACGAAGGATCTGTGGATGAATATTTACCGGTGCCTTGTCTCCGAGCCGGTCCCGGGCCGTGTGTGTTGGCTGTAGGCGCTCGGTCGGTCGGGTTGCCTCCCTCCGGTGCTCGCTGTCTGTGGAGGAGCTGCTGCTGTGTGATACCGGAAAGGTGCGGACCAGAGCGAAAGCCACTTCCGCTCCACGGAGCGCACACACTGCGCCTGCGCACAGAGCTCTGCCCTACTGCAACAAACCTTTATATTTTACTTTTATGGAGACTGTAAACTATGAAATGTGCATGTCAAACATGAACTGGGCATGCATAAGCAGTACACTGTATCTGTATTCTGAGAGAGAGACAAAGAGATATTCACTTATTTAAATCTTATTTTAGCTTATCACATGTTTCCATCTGTTTTCTTCTTAAACCCTGATCCTTATTTATCATTTAACTTAAAGTGGTTTTGGGGTTTCTACCAAAGCTGAACAATCTTCATTACTTTTCAAAGATATGCTGATTGTTAATGATGGATGGTCTGCTCTGGTTGCAGATACAGGCTTTCTGTGGTCTGCTATAAGAACACTTCGTAAATCATGTGATATTTTTAGCTAAATGTAGACCGCCACAACTGTGTGATGAGGTGAGAGACCCAAACGGGAGCAGACCCCAGGACCCTCCGGGACCCCCATCGCTGGGTGCGCGGGCCTCGTGTTGCGCGTGCGCACTGAAGCCTCGTGCTGCTCTGATAAGAATGGTCTGTGGAGCGCGCTTCGTTGTTGTAGGTTAAACAAGTTACGAGAAAAGCTGCACTTTTTCCTTGTAAAGTGGACCAGAATTTGATGGGAGATACTGGTAAGAGTTTACACTTTTGTATTTTTTATTAATATCGTTGTAATACGTATTATAAATCAGCCATTTAAAGGACCACGGCCGCGGAAGGTAATAAAATGGCTAACATTAGCCGACACGCTAGCCTCGCACGGACACTGTAATGGAGAACACACCGTGTGAGCTGTGTATGTTTGAGGAAATCCAAACCTTCGCTTGGTGTTCAGTTTTGTGCACAAGTTGAGCCACGTTTTGAGTTTATAGTCGCAGTGTGTTGAATATTAGCATTAACGCCTAAAATTGAAAACAATCATCTGAACTTTGTGGCTAATCCACGCTATACCAGATAGCTTTAGCTTTCTAAACAAACAAATGTTCATTTTTCCACTGCCTTTTTTCTTTAAAAGTATTAATAACTTTACACAACCGCTAAACAGATTTCAGGTCGTGCATGTAGCAGGTAAACAGCAGGATTAAAGTATCTTAAAATGGCACCTGGCTGGCAGAATAAGGAAGTGGCTCTGTGCAGTTTGCCACGCGTTACATAACACGTTTACTACATTACATCCACTTTGAGCCTCCTAAAAGCCCTGGTGTTTTCTATCCTCTGGTTTTGTGTCGTTTGATTGATATTAATCTGCCCTTCCTTTGCCGTTCAGGGTTGCACGAAGGCGATTTGATTAGTGGCATGTTGAACACTGAGTCCCCGGTCATGGAGAGTAACGGGGACGCGCTGCTTCCGGACCCCGCGCTGGGGCAAACGGGCGAATGGCCACTGGATCAGGTCGCTCCAGATTCCATGAACAACATGGTCGCCAATGAAAACCAGGAGGTGCCACAGCAGAAGACTGTGGAGCAGGTTCAGCTCAGCAGCACTCAGATCATCCACGAAGAACACACTGCACCACAACCTCCTGAAGTCCCCCCACCACCTGCAGAACCAGACATAACACAAGTCCAGCCAATGGCACTAGAGTCCAAGGACAACAGTGAAGGTATGAGTTTATCTGTTATGTGGTATAACTTAAATTTTGCATATTGTAATAGCAGTTTTAACTTTTAACATTAAAGATTTGAAGTCAAAAATTGTCGAGGTCCCTCTCCCTGATGGATACCATATTCCTGTGTTGATATGAATTGTGTTTTCCATAATGAGTATCAAATATGAAAATGGACAATAGTTTAATTTGATCATTTATTACCAATCAGATCAATAACTAGATGGAGCTCGACCAATGACCAATAAACTGTGCTGCTAAACCGGGACTAATTTATTATTTTTTTAAATATATATATATATATTTTTCCCAAATGATGTAATTAAAATTTAATACGAACTTACCCACAGCTTTTTTTTTACAATAAACCCATGAATGAGAAGTGTAGTGTGTAGCCATCTCTTTGCAGTGAAGTGTGAAAAATAAAGCTGTGTATTATTTGGGCAGCAGGTCAGCCAAAACAAAATATGGGCCTCTGCTGGAGATTGAAGGCCGATAGCAGATATGCCAAAAGTGAAAATGTATCTCTTGTAATAACCCCTATATTCAAATATACCATAAAGTCTTCATGTCAAAACTGTATTTCTTGCCCAAAACAGTTTCAACTGCACCAAAGATCTTTAAAAAAAAGCACAACAGAAATTTGAGCCCATATGTGATGAATTTAATTCTCTTAACACTTTACTCAAACAGTTAAAGTTTGATCTATTATGGGTTTTATTTAATTAAAAAAATGTTTTCCCTTTCAGTTTTACCAGATGTAACACAGCCCTCAGAAGATGGAATGGAGTTAGAAGAGCCATCCAAAGAAGGAGAGTCTGAAGTCGCTGCTTCCGTTGAGTCTCTGCCCAGTGAATTTGACAAACTCTTTAAAGGTTGCCAGGACAACCCTGAGGACTTCAATGCTTGGGTCTATCTTCTGCAGTATGTTGAGCAAGAAGTAAGAAAGTTTTACTAGTGCTGGACTGAATGGTGTTTTTCTTTGATCCTAGGCCACAATTTCAGATTTATTAAAGGAATATTATGTAACTTTCTGGAGGTGGCATGATTCCATGGACATGGAAACTTAAAAGCATACTTCAGAACATTCTTTATGTAGATATTAGAGTTAAATGCCAAGCTCATAGCCACTGGAACAACATTTTCATAGAAACAAGCAGGAGTGGGCACTCCTCCAGGCCAAATAAGTGTCAGATTTGTGGAGATGCAAGCCCCCCTCACAGTAAAGATCCATGTTTTTCTCTTCAATTAACACAAACTCTTGGTAGCTTCAGTTACTATATAAAGAAGTAAAGTTATGTTCCTTCAGAGATTTCACACTTGTTACTGGTAAAGGGAGCTGTGAAAATTGAATGCATTGTTGACACTGGTTGCTTGTTCCTGCAGAATTCTCTTGATGCTGTCACAAAGGCATTTGACCATTTCTTTCTGCGCTATCCCTACTGTTATGGCTACTGGAAGAAGTATGCCGACCTGGAGAAAAAACATGGAAACATACAAGTAGCAGAAGAGGTGAGAACCACAAGGAACTAATCACACAGCAGATATATATTGTTTGTAAATATGCATTGGTAGTGCTATTTCATGATCAAATCTGGATTATTGTAATTTTGTTGGAGACATTTTAAAATCTCATTCTGTTTTTTAATCTTTCCTTGGCGTGAAATTGTTTGTCTGCAAGTTTTCCCTCAGGATCAAATAAGTAATTCTGAAGAGTTAACATTTTAAAACCAAATTGCAAATTAAAACCATAAATAAACATGCGTTATTCTGCAGGTGTACAGACGAGGCCTGCAGGTGATCCCTCTCAGTGTAGATCTATGGCTGCACTACATGACCTTCATCAAAGAGAACTCTGACCCCAACGACCCGGAAACAGAAGGACGAATCCGAGCGTATGTATTTAATATTTATCAATATCATATAATTTATCTGTTAGAAACTTCTTTTACAGACATTATTTGCTCCTATGTTCTTCAGTAGCGTTGGGAACCACAAGATTATTCATGAATCAATACGATGCTTTATACATGGCTCACAATATGATAGTCATAGATTTGTTTGTTGTTATAGGTGCTTTTTTGAAGACTATTGAGCATTTTGTATGATACAATATTTAGTTTTGTTAATTTCTCTAACACTTGTTCAAATCTATCATCATTCTCAAACATTGTGTATGTATACAAGTAAGTTAAATTGAAAGACTACGGAGTTGCCTGCTGGTTTAGATCAACAGTTTTATAGCCTTTTATTGAGAAATATTGCCCAATATTGATTTGTCTCTGTAATAATAAACCTATGATTTATTTTTCCTGCACAGTGCGTATGAGCATGCAGTCCTTGCTGCTGGGACAGACTTCCGCTCTGACCGTCTGTGGGAGTCCTACATAAACTGGGAAATCGAGCTTCAGAAACTGTCTCACGTCACGGCCATCTACGACCGCCTCCTGGGGATCCCCACACAGCTGTACTCACAGCACTTTCAGAAGTAAGCACCATTCAGCTCATATGTTTCATTTTAAGGGCATTATGAGCATCCTAATTACTCACTGCAAGTTTATAAGTGCTTTTCACAACTCTGAGACCAGAGCAATGTTTTGCTGTGACTGTAAACTAAAACAACTAGCATGCTATTGTGCACTTCTAGATTATTGGTCAATAAAATGTTTTCTATTTAGTACATAGAGGCTGTACTTTGACCTCAAGAGCTGCTGTAATTATATATTTACTGGTTAAGACACATTTAGTTCAAAAACATGGGAAAAATTTGGTACAGGCCATCCTTATCATTAGACTAAGACAAACTTTATTAATCCTCCAGGGAAATTACTGGGACATAGTAGGTACACAGTACAAATAAGGCATAATTATATAAATGTATATGTACAAGTAAAAATATAGAAATTAAGTAATAAAAGTATATCTCAGCTGTACACAAGAGGTTGTAACCCTGGTGTCTTCTCAGGTTCAAAGAGCACGTGCAAAACAACCACCCCAAACACTTCCTGGCAGAGGAGGAGTTTGTGCAGCTCAGAGTGGAGCTGTCTAAGGCCAGTCTGTCTGCGATGGTGGGAGAGGACGGAGACGCCGCTGTGCCCCCCGAGGAGCTGCCCCCGGGCACAGACGACCTGCCCGATCCCGCAAAGGTAAATGCAGGACACATTTCAGGTTTGAGGATAAATGCTGTTGGAACGTTGTGCTGGAGCTTGTCTTTTAAAGATCGGACAGACTGGAGTGTTGAAGAGTTGTCTCGCTGGCAGCCTGTCAGGGACTCAATCGAGACTCATTGACACCAGCGCCCCCTGAAGGCGATATGCAGGTTGCATACATACCCTTCCGCTTCAAGCTTGTCGTTTGCACGCTTCTGGTGATGTACACCCTTGGCTGCAAGACGAGCCGTTTTTGCAAGTGGAGAAAGTTTTCTGCTTAATAATTGCCCCGTGTGACCTTTGACCTTTCTTTGTGTTTGTGTAGAGAGTGACGGAGATTGAGAATATGCGGCACAAGGTCATAGAGGTGCGACAGGAAATCTTCAACCACAACGAGCATGAAGTCAGTAAGCGCTGGGCTTTTGAGGAAGCGGTGAGTGGTCAGTCTACAGTACATGTCTTAGCCATCAACCCACTTATTACCCAAGGTTGAGCGGCTCTGTTCCTGCTACTCTGGATGAGTGGTGTTCTTGTATCCTTGGGCAAGGCACTTTATCCTCATTGCCTCCTGTTTCTTAATACTCTTGTGTAAGAATGTGTGAGTGAAGGGTTTGTAAAGGGCTTTGAGAGCCCAGTGGAGATGGCAGATGTAGTTGCTGTTTTAGAGAGAAAATTTGTGTCTACTATGAAGTCTAAACATTTTAAATATATGTAATATTTTAATGTTTCAAAGGACCTGACCATAAGCAACAAACTACTGTGACTGTAGTATTTCAATTAGGGCCATATAATAATAATTCTGTGAAACTGTTATGTCATTCTCTTTCCTATACTTGAATCTCAACCAAGCGCGTTTTAGCACATTTCTGATGAATTGCCAAAATATTTTCTAAAGATTGTCACTGACTGCTGTTACAAGGTCATCAAAATCTGATTAATATCTGATTTCTAGACCTTTAAAATTACTTACATTGTGTACATTTTGATTTTAACAATGTTATATCTCCAGAAATCAACCATTAATCAGATATGGACTAGCGTTTCTTTAAATATGATCACTCAAATTGTCTTGTTGTCATTTCAGATAAAAAGGCCATACTTTCACGTCAAATCCTTAGAGAAGACTCAGCTGCAAAACTGGAAGGAGTACCTGGATTTTGAGATAGAAAATGGCACTCCGGAGCGAGCTGTAGTTCTGTTTGAAAGATGCCTCATCGCTTGTGCGCTCTACGAGGAATTCTGGATCAAGGTAACGTCTGCGCCGACCTCTGACCCAAAACGATCTCACCCCCTGCACCCTCCCACCCCCCTCCCCATCACCATGACGATATCTCAACGCCTCAGTAACCCGCTTGTTTGCGTGTAACGTTGATATTTGACTGTATATTTGTTGTATTAGGGGATGGCCAGCTTTGCCACACCAGATATGACCTCAGCAATTGCCAACTACTGCGTTGCATCGTCTTCTCCCTCTACCTTACAGAAACTTATCTAATTGGTTCCATGAAGGTGCTGATGGGTTTACACAGAAAATTTTAAGATCGATCTTTTGTCAATGAAGAATTCACTGCTCCCTCCAAACCAAAACTTTAAAATGTGTCTTTTGTTTTTCTTTCTTTGTTCCTGTTCCTTCCTCTCTGCCTCTTCGTCTTCTTCTTTGCTTTCCTCTTTGGCTCTGAAGTATGCAAAATATCTTGAGAGCTACAGCACGGACGGAGTGAGGCATGTGTATAAGAAGGCCTGCACAGTTCATCTGACCAAGAAACCCACCATCCACCTGCTCTGGGCCGCGTTTGAGGAGCAACAAGGTCAGACATTTATATTTAAAATTAGTTTACCATGTTAAATGTGTACAAATCCTTCTTATAAATTAGTTTTAATTTAATTTTTAATATTTTTTTTTAATTTAAAAATCAATCCCTCATGAGACATCATCATGGCGACAGTGTAGAAGTTCACTAGGTACTCCCACAGAAAGATTCTTGATGCGTCTACATAACAATTTAAGAGAAGAAAACTGAATTTTTTCCACACTGGGAAATTCCAGTGTTACAAGTCCAGCGCACGACAAGAGAATAAAAATAGGCACTCAAAAATCAAGATAAATATTTAAAAATAAACGTAAACACAACACTGCACGGGTTTTAATAAAGTAAAATAAAGGGCTACAGCACTATTGTGTACAGTAAGTGGCTCTGACTTCTACAGATATAAAAAGAGAAATATGATTTAGACTTCTACCTCCCTCATCTAAGAACTGGAACTGGAGCTTTTTTGAACTTTCTTTTTTATGGTTCCCTGCAGTTTAAGTATTGACTAGTATTGTTCAGGTGCTTGATATTGTCATTCTTAATGTGATTGTCATTGTCCATATGCTAAAATAACAGTTGCTATTGCCCTACACAACTAAAACATTAATATACGGTTGTATATTTCCTCAGGTGAAGTAGAAGAGGCCCGTAGCATCCTTCAGTCCCTGGAGTCGATCATCCCAGGGCTGGCTGTGGTGCGTCTGCGGCGGGTGAGTCTGGAGCGGAGACACGGACGGATGGAGGAGGCCGAGGCTCTGCTGACTGAGGCCATGACCACGGCCAAAACTCCAACAGAGGCTTCGTTTTATGCTGTGAAACTCGCACGCCATTTCCTCAAAGTGCACAAAAGCCAGGAGCACGCCAAGAAGACGCTAAAGGACGCCATTGACAGAGACCCGGTAAGTGGGGTGAACATGGAGGCAGAATTTGTACAGGGAAAATGTCAGTGTAGCTTTCAATTTGATAATGATATTGATGGTAAGTCACTAATTACTATATCTACTTATCTTTCAGTATATGAGATGGGGTCAATATTTATTGTGTGTACTTTTCTTTATCGTATAGCTAAAAAATAAAGTAATGGTTGAATTAAAATAACTTTAGTCTTTATTTGAGAGGACAAGGTACAGAGAGATTAAGCTCATAAAAGCAGAATTGCTTTGACCAGATTATATCTAAAAGGTAGTTTCCATGTGCAGTCCCTAATTTACTAATTTCATATATTATATAATGCAATTACAGATGACAATAAAAACTCTACACACTGTTCACTCTAACACACACTCGCTCACACTAAATTGCATATTGAAGTGTTTCACTCTGGTGCTTATTTATTGCAGCTCCTGATCTTTTTAACACTATTGTAGGTTTAGAATAGTTTTTGTGTTTGTGTTAAATTTGCTTTAGGGTTTTTGTGTCAGCCTCAGAAATTAGCTTCAGTATTATCCTTTATAGTGTACATTTACTTCAGCAATATATTCCACTTCAAAGTTTATCGTGACAAGCCGAGGTAACTCCTGTGTTTTATTTTTCAGACGAATCCTAAACTTTATTTAAACCTCCTGGAACTGGAGTACAACGGTGACATTGCTCATAATCAGAGTGAGATTCTGTCGTGTTTCGACCGAGCGATAAAGAGCCCCATGGCCCTGGAGTCCCGCCTCCTCTTCGCCCAACGCAAAGTCGAGTTTCTGGAGGATTTTGGCACAGACATCAATGTGTAAGTGCAGTACTGTTTACTAAAGCTGCACTGTGTGACTTTTTCTGGTGGAGGATATGTTACCTGCTTGCCTCTGTGTAGTTTGGAGATGTTGCCTACAGTGCTTTGTCTAGAATCCTTCACAATATGGCATGGGCACGGGGTCGCCTTTCCAGAGATCTGCTCTGTAGCTTGCATTGACTTGCATACATGGATGCTTTGGTTTAATGCCATAGTGTGGGGTATTCTTGGCAAAGCAATTTTGATGACAGAACACTGAACAGAAAGTGCACCATTAACACAAAAATGATGCATGTTTAATATTTCTAAAATGTAAACTGTTTTTTCCTATAGGCTGGTAGCTGCTCACGATGAACACATTAAACTAAAGGAAGAAAGTGAATCATTAAAAAGGAAAGCAGAGAATGTGTACGATGGGTGAGTACATTTGTGTAATAGTAATTATTTTATTACTGGTTATTATAATTTTGCACAAAAAGGCTTGAGCGTAGCAATGCCTTTTTTTCAGTTGCTAAAACAAGATAATTGCATTTTAATCACCGTTCAACCCCTAAAATCACAATTGTTTGTATGTAGACCTTAACTTTTTAAAATTTTATTTGTTTCATTCCATTGTCTAGGTTTATGATACAGTACTCTCTCTGTAACTGCTGTAGTGAGCCTTCTCATTTTGGTCTTAAAATGTTTGTATTAATCCGTTCTACATGACCCTGGTGTTTTTTTTATTTTTTTAAATTTTGTCCATTAATAAATTCACATTCCTAATATGGAACTGACTCCAAATTCGCCCTTATAACGGCTAGCCTTGTGAGGTTCATTTGACTGTAGCCAAGCACTATGGCTGACGTCACACTCCCTTAGGCCACTTCTTTATACATTCTATGCTTCAGACAGTGCACGGAGAATATTACTGCTTTTGAACATGCATATTAATCTCCTGGCTGTATATTTGATTGTTTTGCAGCACTGGGGAGCCTGATGCAAAGAAGCAGAGAGTGGAGGACGGCACGGAAGCTACAGATCCTGCAGCAGCGGCTGCCATGACGGACATGACTGCGAATAACTCGGCATACAACTACAACTGGTACCAGGTGGGTTCATATGTGGAGTGTATAGTGAGTTTCGCTAAAGCTTGTATCCTAAGCAAATACGTACTTATAACAAAGATATTAATAAAATAAGTCTTTGTCTTAACCAAAAGCAACAACCAGAAATAAGACCTAATGCAATTACATTTTTTGTGCCAAAGAAACTTCATATTTAAGGACTTTCCAACATTAGGGTATATCTAGTGGTTTAAATTGAATTATTTTTATTCTTCCTGTGTTTACATTTTAGCAAAAAAGTTGGAAATGGATACCTGTAGGCAGGTTTGTTTTTATAGCAAACTAATTCAAAGAGCTTTACAGAATAAAAGAATTTAAAAATTCCAAAACAAACAATACAAATGATGATGTACAACACAAACTCAGTTCTGCATCAAGTTTAAAACATGTTTACTTCAAGACATGGGAGGACTCATGTGACCCAAATAAATCCATGAATCACTGATAATCCCAGTTTAATCCTGGTTTAGTTCTAGATTAGTCCTTGAATCACTGCTTGAGAACTGTTAATTCAGTCTCCAACACAAGTACATGTTGTATTGTCTTAAAGATGTACTTCTCCACCCTCTAAGGTGGAGGGTCCGCTACTTGTCTCCATGGTGATATTTTTTTTGCATGGAGTGTTCCACAGGCTTGCCTCTCCATAGATCTGACCATTAACTTGTTTCTGTTGTGATTACTAAATTTATTTAAATAGCAGCAAAGCCGTAACATCTCCATGGACATGAGCAGGTAGCGGACATTCCATCAGTAAAGTTACACAGTGCACCTTTTAAATATTTACAAGTAACAATAAGTGACAAAGTTAGTCCAAAAATGTTATTATTTTGTCCAAATAAGGACTACTTGAGCCACCGTAGTCTTGTACAAACAGACATTGAGGATGCTAATATTACTTTTATATAATTGTGCCTTATTTGACACCACTCTCTTGCCATTTTTGCTTCTTATTTAGAATTTATTAATACTATATTGTGATGTGTGAGCTACTGTGTCAATTTCCCTTGTGGAACAATAGTTCTTCTAAGTAATATTAGTAGATGATACTTTTAACATTTTCTGTATGCTTTAATAAGATGTACAAAACTTTAAGACTAATTCATATTTTTTTTATTGTTTCAAGCAGCAGTATGGCACTTGGGGTCAAAACTCCTGGGGACAGTACAATCAATACGCCCAATACAACCAGTACTACCCACCCCCTCCCACATGATTGACAGGTGTCTGATCTGAAGAGGAGACTGGAGCCAGCGTCCTTTCTGAGCTCAACCTGCCCTATAGAGACGACAAGACCCGTTTTAACAGGCTGTCAAGGAATGTCACGTATTTTATGGACTAAACTACTGGAGTACTGACCTGCCATAGTGTTTTCCATTGATGAAGACTAAAATGATGTTCCATACCATATTCAAATTATTTTTTTGTTTTTACTAATTTTTGTTGAGCATCCCATAGCATAAAACAAAATGGTAAATATATTTGTTCAACATTTCAGTGCAGAATTTTCACTTGTTTGATTCTACTAAACCTAAAAATTTAGACCTACGAAATAATATATTTTCCCCTAATTTTGGATTACAGGTCTGCTTATTATATTGGCATAAAGTGACTATGCATTGCTAATAACATCTATAAAAAGACCAAAATACAAGGAAAAAATTTCAAATTTCATAAGCAGTATATTTGAAGATTTGATTTTGATATAATTGAGAATACCACACAAAATTACACCTCTTTAGATAATACAACTTGATACATGATATTTGTACTTGATAAAATGTTTAAAAATCCATGAAACCTTTGAAATTGTTAACATTGCAAACGCCACGGTTGTAGTCAGTTATCTATGGTAAACACTGTTGTAGACCTGGTCCTCCTTGATTGCCTCAGTAACAGATCTATCAGCTCTGTATAAAACATCTCAAAACTATGACAACTTTTGAGTAGCATGTGAAATTTACGAAGGCTGGTTACTTTCTCCCCTGTAAGACTTATTATTTTTAGATTGGATGTTTTGCTTCAGTCTCTTTAAATTTGTAAAAAGGAAACGGTGTGTTCACTGTCTTTGTTGAATAGATTTGAATGACTTTTAATATTTCATGGTTTGCAGAAGGAGAAGTTTGTTTTTTATTTTGACTTGATTTCATAATAAACCAGTAACTTGTGAGAAATATGTGGCATTTCTTATTTAGTCCCTCAGAAAACTTTTTAGAACAGTAGTAGCCAATGTTGTTTCACTTGAAGAGCTAATTGAGATTGTAAATAGCTACACAAAGTTTGTTTAGCCTGTTATAAAAATACAAAGGAAAACTTTCAATATCTAAACTGCCAGAAGGGTTGCTTTATAGTACTATTTGTTTTTCTACCTTAGATTTTAGATAGCCAAAGAAAGGCAGATGGCACCACAACAGTGTGTCTCAAACTGGTATGTGAGCTCCTTCATCTCTTCAGTTTATGGGTTTGCTTAATTTAGAGTTCATTACAAAAAAAAAGAAAAAAATCTTTTTATATAAAGATTTATTTAGATCTACTGTGGAAATTATGTAGTCCACCTTTAGACTTAGTTTAGCCCAAGATTAGATTAGACCTATTATAGTCCTGACATAGACCTGGTTTAGATCTGGGGATACTCGGAAAGCCAAATATTTGATTGTGCTGTGAAGTTTGAGAGCAAAACATGAAATTAAAGTGATAAATAACTGAAATCCCATTAGAAGAAGAAAATATATGATTTTGTGTAATGGGGTTTCAAAAGGCAGTATTGTGAAATCTGCAAACTAATACTATCTGATATCATAGCTAAAACTGTAAAAGTGTAAGTCTATGGTAATTACGTTTTAATTGTAAATGGACTCTGCACCTGCTTCTCTGCGCATGCGTGCTCTCAGATGGCGCCTGGGCGTGATTACGTTTCCCGGTCCTTACGTAAGTCTGGACATGCGCAGTCCGAACCCTTAAGCAGCCCTTTTTATGCTAAGCGCTGATCGACTAGCATCAAACGAGGTAAGGCCTGCGAATATATACCACAAACACGCGTATTTTAGACTATTTTGACACACTGAATCCCATCGATTATCTATTATACTTTAATTTAACGCTTACGTGCTTAATTTGAAGGATTGTGTTAAAAAAATTGGACATTATTGACGTATTTCTTTGACTCGCGTGTTCCATGTGGCTAGAGAAGCTTAGTACGCAAACCAGTGACGGACGAGGTAGTTTACGGTGAAATAGAAAGTCCGTTTTTCACAACTTTTTCATCATTCCTTTAAGCAAACTTAATGATTATTTAGGTGTTACATATAATTATTATCTGTTTAAAACCCGTATTGTTAGTCCATTAAACAAGCGTTGACTTTGCTTGTAGTGTTTCCGTAGTAGCTTTAACATACGAAACTGCACTAATGTCTCCTGATGTTTGGTTTCCAGCATCATGCAGCTCTTCCTTCGTGCCCAGAACACTCACACCCTCGAGGTGACTGGAGAGGAGACCGTCGGCCAGATTAAGGTACTCGACTTAATTGTGCTTTATGCTGTAATGTTTATGCAAGACCTTCGGACGTGTGATGTCCGGGCAAGTCCGGGCATGTCCCGTTTAAATGGCACAATAAACTGGGACATTTGATTAAACACATTAGTTATGGCAATAAATGTGCAATATGTAACTTTTCTGACAAGGTCAGAGTCTGTCACATTCTTGTTTTTGTGGGGATGTTATGGCTTTGCGTTGGATGTTTCACAGTATGGCATCAAACATGTCTTCTAGTATTCATAGTACAAGTGTTATGTATTTGTATGGCTCCCAAATACGTGGAAAATCACACATTCTTATGAGGACCAATTCTTCACAGATCTGACCTGTCTCTTAATTAGGCAATGTCATGGATATGAGTTGATGCCATTTAGTGAAAAATTCTAGGCAAAACAATTACATCTCCATAAAGACAAACTTATACTTGACTCTTTACCCAAAAAGTTGACAGTGCACTTTTTTAAAGGCAAAAATAAAAAAAACATTCTTGAGACTTTATTCAAGCATTGAGCATTAAAATATAAAAGAATGTATACAAGGCAGAAACAAAACACTTATTTAACCCTGTGTCTAATGCTCTCTGTTGTTTAGGCTCATGTCCAGGCTCTGGAAGGTCTCCCTGTTGAGGACCAGGTGCTGCTGCTTGCAGGCTGCCCCCTGGAGGATGACTCCTGCCTGGCCTCCTGCGGTGTCTCCGAGCACTGCACTCTGGAGGTGGCCGGCAGACTGCTGGGAGGTGAGGCACAACTATCCATGGGTTTCAGAATTATGTAAAATTATGAACATTGCCATAATGATTAACAATTTAAAACAAGACCTCCTTTTAAAAAAATGGGTTGCATATAACAGGAAGATGGAACCCATATACCTATAACCTATTTCTTTTATGAGTTTATGTGGAATTGATATAATTGTTTTGCTCTTATCTTGCTCAGCTGTAGCTTGTTCATTATAACAGTTTTTGTATGACAAGGTCTACCAATCATGTGCATAGTGTGTAGATGCTGAGATTTTGGTAGTAGAATTTTTAGGATATCTAAATGGCTCATATTGACTTATTAAAAGATTCGTTTTTTTGGAGGCATATCAATTTATTGCCTTTTTATGGTAATTAAATATAGTTTTGTTTATTTATTTTCTTGGTTAAATTTAAATGCTCACATTTGCATTTTAGGTAAGGTCCACGGCTCTCTGGCTCGTGCTGGAAAAGTGAGGGGACAGACACCCAAGGTACGTCAATTTTGTACTGACATGAGTTTGTATGTGATGTGAGAACATGAACTGACAACCTTCTGTATAATTCTCCAGGTTGATAAGCAGGAGAAGAAGAAAAAGAAGACCGGCCGTGCCAAGCGTCGTATCCAGTACAACAGACGCTTCGTGAACGTTGTGCCCACCTTCGGAAAGAAGAAGGGACCCAACGCCAACTCCTAATTTCTGTCTAGTTCAAGACCATGTTCTTTTTACCAAGTTAAATGTTTTCCTGTCATACAGAATAAAATTTTGGCTTGGGACAAATTTGTACAGCTTCATCAATTCATTACTATTAATGTTTAACCCATGGCAAATGCTCACTTTTACCTATGAATAATTAAACCAAAAAAATCCCACTTTTGTGGCTTCAGGACAGTTTTTTTTTGCCATTTTACAAATCCCAGACTAAATCAGTGAAGTAAAACTAATCAGGAGATTAAGGATCCGTTTAAAATACCTTGAATGACACAATATAGTAACTTAAAAGTAGAAATGAAAGCGCGTGTTTTAGGACACTGAGATCTTGGCTTCTGAGTTTAGTTTTTCCAAGGTCTCAGCACAAAGCTCCACCAAAATGAATCTGCAAAATACTGCCATATGTTGTGGACTTCAATGTATTACAAAGAATCTACTATTAAGATTTGCTACCAGTTTCTATGAACTTGAATAATTCATAACACCTAGAATATTTGTCTTGTTTTGCTCACATAAACCAGTATTTGATTTTTCTAAGGCCTTTGACACATGACTTTATTACTGACAATATGTTAAGCAGAAAACAAAATAAATATATTAAGGATATAAAGCAGGAAATGTGAAGACAAGATGTGTTACATGTTATAAAGATTTATTTTCTCACATGCAAAAAATGTGTCTGAACATTCTTATTTTGCCAGTACATTTGACAAAACCAAAGTAGCATAACAAATGTGACCTTGCAAACCAAAATTAAGGGGCTTTCCGTGCATCCATTCAACAAATTAACTCCCCAACAGGCAGATTAATCCACAGACACAAGCTCAATCTCAAAAATGAGCTTGGCGTTTGGTGGAATTCTGTGAAAAATGTAAAGGACAACAATGGCTCAAGGTAGCAAAATGACAATGCACAAGCAAATATTCTACAGTGGCCTATCAAACAGTTTTATGTTAACAAAAGCAAGAAATTTAACTTTGACTGGCTAATTAATGTGCAGATCATAGACCACAAATGGATTTTAATATTACCCAATTTCTATCAAATTTTGTACGTAAATAAATTCCTGTTCCTAATATGGAACTGAAGCTGAATGCTATGGGTGATGTCACACTCCATTACTCAACTTCTTTATACAGTCTATGGGGCAGATATAACCTAAATTCCTAGCTTAATTCCCCCAGCATGCTAAGTGAAAGCACTCATCCAGGTCAGTACTGTTGTGTCTTTTGGGAAAACAATTCACCACTTTGCGACCTTGATTGATGATGATCAAGAGGACCATCAGCAAGTATGGACGTGAATAAATAATGCACAAAAGTTACTGAATCAGGAATAATTTCTGTATATCTTGGTTCAGTTTGTAAGTATTAGAAAATCCTCTGCTGTTTAAAAGAATGTTTTTTCTGACTAACATATACATAATATTTCTTTGTATATTTGTATCACATTTTTAGAAGCAAAGGATACTTCGAATCAGGCACTCCCTTTTTCCCATAGGCCCACTCTGGTTCGATCTCCACTCGGGCTTGTTCGCCTTTGCTCATCGTTAACAACGCCTCATCCCACTGTCAGGAGAAAAACATACATTGAATAAAATAAAACTGGAAACCATATATAGATGAGTAACAGACACTGACTCACTCCTCTGATGACTCTGCCCAAGCCCACTTTGAAGCTCAGTGGTTTTGCCTGCTTCTTCTTTCTAGCACCTGCACAGATGAAAAAGAGTGGGTTAGCAACAAATCAAGCCAATTTTCACTTTGAAGTCACAGTATGGCATTAAACCTTTTTATACTCATGGAAACCGAACCATATCAAGTTACAGGTCAGATCTGTGGGGAGGCAACTCAGCTCCCAGTCAGAACGCCTGTTTTGTAGGTATTTTTGAGCAATAAAATCACTGTAAGTGAATAAATGTAAGGTAAAACTGTTTAATGTCGTACTGTGGAACATTCCAGGCAGAGCAATCACATCTCCATAGAAACAAGCAGGTGACAGGCCCTCCACCAGAAATGTTACATAATGCACTTTTAAGTCTCAAAATAACAAAAGAAGGTTGAATTCTGTCAACTGGACTTTAGTGAATATGTGTCCCCACTAGGGATGGGCATTCGATGAAATTTTCTTAATCGATCGTCGGAAGAATTAACGATCGATTATCGATTAGTCATTAACGTTTTTATATTAAAATTATCATCATTATTATTACTATCTGCACTACTAATGTGCATAAATAAATTCAACTTTACGACATATAAACCGTAACCACTCTAGAGCCACATCAATCCGTTTGACATTATTAATTATTAATGTGTTTAATTCAGTTTTGCGCAACTCTCACAGAAACGAAACTTAAAACCGCATCGCTAATTTGCATAAACTCAGCGATGATAAAACTACAGCTCTTGTGTCGCTGATGCGGTCAATTTCTGTCGGATTAAAAGACATGACTCAGGTGAATACAGGTTAGTGTGACCAGATTTGCGTTTGACAAAACCAGGACACTGTACGGGGGGAGGGAGGTGGGGACTCGTCATCGACATTGAGCGACTCTCACCTGGCAAAACTTTTTCCCACTGGACACCGAGACATATGTGCTGCTTTATACACTGTGCACATGGACTCACACTTGTCCCGAACGCAACGCAAAGCGTGGGATTTCTTGTACAAATCATCGTTAAATACGCATTTGTGCTTCGGTACGTTGCAGACTGACCCACTGTTTGTGTCTCGCTCCTTCTGATGCAGAGACACATGTACGGACCCCTGTTTGGTCACGATACACACAGCAACCTGCATTCGGTTTGTCGATTAAAATTAATGTAATCGATGAAATTCTTAATGATCAATTATCGATTAATCATGCCCATCCCTAGTCCCCACCAATACAAGAAGCTTCTTCAGTTCAAGACAGAATTCAGACGCCTTTGGCTATAGACCTTACCTGGACAATTGAGAGATTACACAGACACACAGTCTGAAAATATTATTGTGCTTTAATATGGGAGCTCAATAGTGACTGTCCACACCCTGGTCAAGGAAGTACATTTCTCATAATTTTTTCTTATAGACTTTCTGAAATAAATTCATATTCAAAGTTTGAAAGCTCAGAGCTAATGAGCTATGTGGTAACTAATGACCACAAATTTTAAATCTGTTTCTGAAACTTTATAAAAGTTTTAAAACATTTAGTTATGAATAGTAGTTGCCACGTAGTTGGTTAGCCTCTGCAATATCTTAATATTTAAATTTTAAATTGTCTGTGGGAAAAATGAATGGAACATTTACTTCCAGAATCAGAGCGTCAGTGACTGTTCAACTCCCTCAGAAAATTAATATTGATAAACATTGTTTTTAATAAGACTAAATAAAAATTGTCAAATGGCCCAGCCCTAGCTACATCTCTATTTAAAATACATTAAACATAGTTTGTAAATTTTCTTCGTCACTTTTATTCAAATTTTTTTTTTTTTACTCAGTTATTCTACAGCTCTATTCTATAGCTATAGCTCTATTATTTCCTATGTATAAAACATATAGGAGGTGATAGGAGGTGATGTCTAGTGTCATATATTTCCATACCTGCAGGAACATTGGTGTCAAACACAGTCCCGTCCTCGAGCGTGCCAGTGTACCAGCAGCTCACCGTCTCACCCTTCTTTGGAAAGTTAGTCTTGTCTCCTTTCTTTAAAATGGACTTGGTGAACTTCGGAGGACCCTGGAATGAGGAATTTCATGCATGAGACATTAAACATTCATATTCTGAACGCAGAGGGGCGCAGGATTTAAATGGAAGTTCAACATTATGGATTCATACCTCGTCCACCACTTCTGTTTTGATTTCTTTTGGCTTTTCCTCAAGTTTTACAGCTTTCACTTTTTCTGTGGCCTCTTCCACTGGATCTGTGCCTTTAAATCTCTGCAAAAACACATTATATTCACTTTTAGATTGCAATTATACAGCTGTATCAATTGAGAAAAATATGTGATAGCCAAAAGAGAAGCAGAGTCTCTCTGACTCTTTTATTTCAATATTCTACATTTTTGTTCAATATTGTCATTTTCTTTAGATATTTCAAATTTGTTTTTGTTAACATATAACTGTACAGTATATAAATATACTGGTAAATCTAGCAGGGGATAGCCGGGCATGTCAAAATTAGACAAAAAATAAGTATAATATGTAAAGAAAGAATATACAACAAGAACATACATTTAGATACTGCTTGTGCTTGATGCTTGTGACTTTTTGAATCCAGCAACTTCAACAAAACCTAAATCAGTAAATTACTGATTGGTTGAAGTACACAAGGCTAATATACAACAAAAATTTGACTTTTAGAGCATAATTTGAGTTATGAATGAGACCTTTGCATATACATTTCTTTAAAAAAGTGTGTGGAAGGAGAGGGAACTTGCCAAATGTAAATTTATTAGGACATAAACAAAGTTTTGGCACAAGGCTTTAAACAATATCATTACTGTGTGTAAAGACCTTAAATAACACTGTGAGTAGAATAATTTTGACATTAAGTGTGCTGCCCAAGTCTTATTGAATGAATATAGAATAAATGGGCCACTTACTTTGCTCTGAAATAGCTGATTGTAGGCATCAATCAGTTGTTCTTTCTTGGCGGTTTTGGCAACATTCTTGATGTTTCCAAGCAACTTGTGTTCATTAAGAAACTGTAATAAATATAAACAGGTTAAACAATAAGATTAAGAAGTTTAAAGAAAAATATATAATTTAGAAAATTACATATTTTTAATTTTAGCTAGCTAACCTCTTTCTACTAAAGCTGATTAGGGTAATTTATCTTACAGTAATTTTCACTATTCCCATTTATTATAATCTTTTAACCATTCCCACTGAGTTTCACAGGCTTTTACACTGACAGCACATATTCATGTTAGTATACATGACACATTCAAGTCATTTAATAATTTATTAAAAATGAAAACATACACTCAACTTTAGACCTGCATTAATAACTTGCAAACACTATGCCAACGTGAAATATATAAACTGAAAATGTTGTATGAAATTCAAACTAGACAACAAATAACGAAGCATAATATGGACTGAAAGGGACCATCTTGAAATGTCACTTCACAAATAATGAGTTTCCGCTGATTTATTAAAGGATGGAGAGCTTGTTCATTCATTCATCCATATGGGCAAATACAGTCTATGGTAAAGCCACTATAGCACTGCGCCACATACCACCCAACATTTTGCAGCTTTGCAGGGAAATTAACACGAAAACACGCGTCGATTTAAACTAACTCAAAGCCCAAACTCTGCTCTGAAACATACCGACTGAGCAGCATTGTCCTGGAGAAACTTTATAATGTCTTTTTTGGGCAAATCGTCATTTTTGAGCTGCTCATCGCTCCACTCTCGTGTAGGTTCTGCCGCCATTTTGAAAAGCGTCTATTTGAACTTTGATCCTCACGGGCAGTAGTAGTACATAATTTATTTTATACGAAATAAATAAATTAATATATATTTTATATATTTGCTATTTTGTAACTTAAATTAGCCCTTGAAATATTAAAAGTATCAATATTAAATTGCTGTGTATTTAAGATATAATTGAAACAGTTATTAGGCATACATTCTAATTTAATAATAATTTTACGATGATTATTTATGTTTGTATTTGTTTGTATTGTGATTTTAATGTCTTTCTTATTCTATAAAGCACATTGAATTACTTTGTGTACGAATTATGCTATACAAATACACTTGCCTTGCCTAGCTGTTCAAAATGTATCAGCATAAAACTGATTAATATACAATTTAATTCCACTTTTTTGTAACTTTAATTAGTCGGTGGAATACAAAACTAGCACACACAACGGTTTTATAGCCTATTTAAGATACAACTGAAATGGTTAATTAGACTCGCTCCAAATAAGTTCTAAAATAGCTACTTTTATTTATTTATTTTTCGTTTTTTAGTATTATGTCGCATTGATTTGACTATAAACCACAACAAATATGTGTAGTTAATAATAAAACGCACAAATCTAGTACGAAGACTAAACTTCAGCTTGCAGTTCGCACTTGCTTCCACCAGGAGTCAGTATACCCCCACCAATTTTCCATGTGTACTTGCAAGATTGATCTCCCCAATTTAAAAGGTGCACAATGCAGTCTGACAGAAGGGAAAATGACCAGGACTTATTGTGTAGAAGGCTATATAACAATAATGAATACTTCACAAAACACATATATGACAAGAGCCAGTGATGGAGATAGATTGGGTTGCTGTTTGGTATAAAAACACTGGGTCCTGCAGGAAAGGTCTTAAATTAGTGTTTATCATTGTATTTCCCAGTGGGGATAGGGCCGTATAGAGGTGCAAACGCAGGTATTTCACAGCACGGTAACAAGCTGATGTCTGTAAAGGTGTTGGTAAGAAAGTTATTTATTCGCAATTACAGCAGTTGAAAATAAAACTGAGAAGGAGACCTTGATAATGAAAAAGTTACATACAGACAATATTGTGAAAAGTTAACTCAAATGAGATTAGTTTGGACTGCTTACATTAAGGAAAGATTACGAATGGGTTAAAATTCTACAATGTCATTTTGTTTATATTGGTGAATTTAGACTATGCAGGGTCTATCAAAGCATAAATGGTAAATGGTTTATGGAGCGCTTTTCTACCTTCAAGGCACTCACACCACTTTTCAACATCAAGGAGCCACTCACATATTCACACACGCATTTACACACCAATGTACAGTACACAGACAGTGGGGGTGAGGTGAGTTGAGTGTCATGCCCAAAGACACAACAACAGTATTTATCTGTGGGAGCTGGAATTGCAGCCAGCCTGTGGATCTGACCACACTGTCAAGTGAGCCCACTGTTATATACTGTCACAGTATATTTTTCTAGTGTATTTTTTATTTTCTTAATTTATATGTGTGTCACAAACATTATTTCCAAAATTTGGTAGTACATGTTTGGATGCCTCCTGGACACGTTCCTGGCAGGTTTTCCACACCCCAGGGAAGACCCAGGACACGCTGGAGGCCTCTCTGGAGGAGCTGTAGGAAGTGTCTGGGGTGAAGGAAGACTGGGCCTCCCTGCTTAGACTGATGTTCTCTGCCCCTGGATAAGCAGAAGAAAGTGGCTAGTAGTAAAAAGTGCACTTCATAAGAAGCAAAATTCCAGGCATCAAACTGTCTTCCTATATGTGATAATTTGTCCATCAACTTTCTTGGAGATGCATCAGTTGATACTTTGCAGTTTGACATCATGCTGGGGTGTAGTTAACATGGTGGCACATGCAAACACTGCCAAAAAGTTTTAAGATAGTCTGAAGAATAAAACAAAAACAAAACAAAATGGATTTAAGCAACACATTTTCAGGAGCCTGTGATCAATACAAGTGTCCATGGTCCTGTTTAGGAGTTTGATTTTCAACTCAGACTTGTTTGAGACTTTTTTTAACAACTTATGTCAGCTCACCTGTTGTAGTTTCAGCTAAGTCAGTTTTTTCTGGTCAGATTGTGTTGAAATAAAGCTCAGATTAAGGTCTAATTTGAGTTACAGATTTTCAGATTGAGTAGTGTCTTCAGTTTGCATCAGGAAACATTGATGACATCATCTGCAAAGTACTAATACTGGTAAAGTAAGTCAGAGCAAGACATGAAACTCAGTATAAAGGACCAGGAAGTGACCCTGCTCATGGTAAGAATGCATGATTTTAAGCATTTGAGCAATTAAAACACATGTGATTCATAAATAGAAATTAGGAAAGTTATACTGTGGAACATTCAGCAAAGCATCAATATCTCCATACCAACCAATATCAGAAAAGTTACCTCATACACCTTTAACTCATCATTTAAATCCACAAAGTTAAATCTGTCTGGAGCAGAGGCTGACTGCACTGCAGCTCTTGGTCTATTCTCCATGTTTTAGATTTCTTGAGGTCCCAGAAGCTTAAATCTCCATAAGCTCCAGTCCTCACCTCACCTCACCTGGAGTGACCCTGGACCACAGCGCAGCCTCATTCACATATGCTACAGCTATAGGCTAATAACTCACATCTCACACCGAGGGCTGCCTGCAGGGCGCTGGGAAAACCAATGGGCTAGTCAGCATTTATTAAGTATAGAAGTTTTGCAGTAAAAAGCCAACACGTTAACAGGGATAGTTTAGTCTGCAGTTTCAATTCATATTTTGCAAAACACAGCTCAATTATGGAAACAAGAATTATCACTACAAGGGAATACACTGACAAATTATCATTAAGATTGTTTGCACATAATTGAAAGCACAATATTTCAAGAGTAGTATATGAGCATTTGTAAAGAGGGGTATTTTACTTCTAGCAGGTATTAACTGCTTTAAATTTTGTGAATTTGTCTAAAGGTTCAAGTTTAAAGGTCCTATATTATGCAAAACTGACTGTTTTGAGCTTTAAGCTGTGTCAGTATGTTGTTACCTCCTCAAAAACATACGACATATAGTTGTGTTTTGTTTCATTCACATATGTAATCATGCATTATTAACTCAAAATGCTCTGCTCCACCTTGTGATGTCATGAACTGGTATGTTTCAAATTTACAGCTACATTTTGCCTTTTGTTCAGTAGAGATTGGCAATTCCAAGGATGAAATACAGTGGTCCCTCATTTATTGTGGGGGTTATGTTCTAAAAATACTCCACGACAGGTGAAATCCGCGAAGTAGTCAACTTTATATTTTACAATTATTATGTCTGTTTTAAGGCTGTAAAACCTCTCACAACACACTTTATATACTTTTCTCAGACAGGACAGTTAACTCTTTTTGCATCTTTCTTAAAACTTCTTGCTGCTGTTGTCCTGATGTTATTTTCCTCCTTCTTTATGTAACAAACCCAAGATTCATTTAGGCCTATTAAGTAATGGAGCCCTACAGCGCAGAGTCCTGCACAGGTCCATTTTTGGAGACCCACACCCGCCTGTTAACCCGAGATTATATCAAACTTTTGTGCTGCATACGTCACAAACTGAACCAAGACTAAACCAGGACTGACCCAGGACTAACCTAGGACTATTCCAGGACTGATACAGGAGGACTAAACAAGGACTGAACTAGGACTAAAACAGAACTAAACCAAGACTAAACCAGAACTAAACCAGGACTCACTGTGCAGAACTCCGCAAGTCATGAAGGTAAGCACAGGTTCTGCCTCTTAAGTCCTGGTCTAGATCTGGTTTAGTCCTGGTTTAGTCCTAACCTACTGTAATTACTATCCGCCCGCATACCCACCCATAAAATTCCAGAATGTTAAAACCCGCCCATTTCAGCAACTATTTGCCCGCAAGTACCCGACCAAGTGTAGGACTCTGCTACAGCCACATAACTTTCCTTCCATCAGCGTGTCCAGAAGTCCAACTTTTTGTGTTTTTGCATCTTTCTCTGCCTTTTGGGTGCGACCGCAGGAGCCTTTGTTGGTGCAGAACGTTTCGTCGATATTGTGGGTTTTGTTGGGGAGAAAACTTGCAAACATACAGCACTTCAGTCAACATCCAACATTTATGTAAATCTGGCAAGCTGAACGCATTCTGTACTGTACAGGAGACACGGCACAGAGGAGACTGATTGACAGTGGTCTACAGCCAATCAGGACACAGGGGGAGGAACACAATGCACGTTCATACACTGTTAAAAAAAAAAAAGGCATGCAAAATTGTACAAAAAAAATCCGCAAAACAGCGAGACCGCGAAAAGTGAACCACAATAAAGCGAGGGACAACTGTAATCCAAATGATTCTAGTGAAGGTGTATAGAGTACTTTCTGTGTTGCCACATGATATCACAAGGTGGAGGTGGAGTATTTTGTGTCTGAGAGAAGAAATCAGACTAACTACACAGGATTTGGAGCTTTAAACATGTGTGAATGAAACAAAACACAACTCCAGGTCTGTTTTTGATGAGGAAACAATATTATAACATAGATGAAGAAACAGAGTAATATGGTCCCTTTTAAAAGATCTCCCCATAGCCATGCAATCTCCCCTCTGGTGTTGTAGCCTATACATCAACCCGTGACCAATCAGACCACAAGGACGTGCTCCAGGCCATCTCTTCATCATCTGTGAGCTGCTAATGAACCAAAGAGGCACCAAAGAGAAGGACTGAGTCTGAAGTTGGCTTTGGAACTGCTCCTTTTCTCACAGATTAAAGGAGCAGACTGATGAGAAACCACACGCTCCAAAACTGCTGTCCCTCGATATCTTCACACCCACTCGTCTGATGGTGAATAACATGCTCATTATTACATTTCAGAAGGCCAATATCAAACAGATCTTAAACAAATGTATATCAGTAATGGGGAAAAAGGCTTGTCAGATATACTTTACCGTGAAGCATTCCAACAAGGCAGTGGTGTTGCCGCAACCAAAAAATAAATAAAACATTTTAAAAAAGTCTGAGAAAT